GTTTTGAGATTTCAAATGATTTTTTTATATTTACTGTAATAACGTAGTAAAAACAAGTTTCAACAATTCAAAAGATCCCGTGATTTTCTTTTACATACATCAAACTAACAAATAGGTTTTACTAATTTATAATATTGAAAACTACGTACTTGTATACTTTCTAAAATCGAGATCCTACCTAGCTACACGTGTTATCATCAAAGGAAAGCGCTATAAAGCATGTACGTTTTACAGCCACATTGGAAAAAGTTATTTTCATAGCCAATGAAGACTTTTACATTGTTGTATATCATGTTTACACCACAATCTCTAGGGTAGAGTTGAACGTTAAGTATACATAGAGTGTTGTCATGCAACGTTTGAAAATCGTTATCATAAATGACATTTGGAACGGTCATTTTAACAACTCTTTACACTCGACATATAGTTTATTTAAACAATTTTCGTAAATGCACTACGCTAGACTAATATAAAAAAAAATCACATGTAACCACTACAAGGAGTGTTAAGGTTTATCTTTACTTTTATTTAAACATTTCGTAATAAGCCTATAAATGAGTGCAAAAAACATTATTCTAGAAAATAAATATGTAATACTTATAGTCATCAGAAATATAATATTATTCTACAATCCATATGTTATTCTGGAATAATAAACATAAACCTTAACATAAAACAATGAGAGAGATGCTATCGTCGTTCGTCGACGTCTACGCGATAGATATTCTGAGATAGCAAAGGTCGAAAATCTTTCCTAGCAAAATATGTTTGTTTCTAAAACAAAAATGTAAAATGATGCTTTTAGATAATTTTATAGCTACACAAATGGAAGTAAAGAACATCTGACAATTCACCATACTTGGCAAACGAATTGGCATCATTAATGTAAGAAACGTTGCACAACGGATGCGGCATCTAGGAAAAAACATTTTATTTGATATGCATTCCAATATGTCTTTCAAAATGATTGATATTTTAAATTCATATTTACGTAACCCATAACAAAGATTTCAGGTCATATTTTTCATTTTTCTGAATTGAGGACGTCATGTAGTACGTACTATGAAAAAAGTTTTAACGTTACCTGAAAAATAACATAATACGGTAAATCAATATAAGTATATATGGTAACACAACTTGTTAGTGAGCGAACCGCTCGGACGGATGAGAGTCGTTAATGAGAATTTATTGCTTAAACCACAACACGAACTCTACTAACTCAAATTAGAAACATTTATTGTTATAGACATCATAACAATCTTTTAGTCGGCACAAATGAGGCTTGGTTGCTTTAGGCTAATATTAAATGAATTATGTGTTAATCACACCTTGCCAGTGAAAATTGCAATATATTTTTTGATGTACAATCATTTGTTTTCTCAAATAGATATAGGTACAGATGTTTAATCAGCACATACATTTTATAGACTTTATATGTAATTATGTATATGTTTTGTTAAAAAATATAATTGTTAAGTATATATTTAAATTAATATAACGTATGTAAACTTGTCATACCTCTGTTTATTTACTGAGCTCTTTAAATATTGCGAAATTCAATTGAATACGAAACAATAAGTAACAAGAAAATGTAAAATTTTAATCTAATACCAAATTTACGCTGAACACAAATTATAGATAAATGACTATAAATAACTTTCGCATAATTAGGAAGGCCATCAATTCACTTAAATATTGAATAAGTCATTCAAATACAATTTAAATAAAATGTTATCCGCAAAAGCCACGAGTAGTGTAATAAGATCTATCTAGAATCGAACAAAAGGACATTTTTAAACAAGGCCAGTTTCGGTCACTATTAAACTGTCTATTACACCTCTGTATAAATATTCAGAATTCGAAGATCAATATATAGCGATACACGCATATCGACAACATTGTGCATATCCCTCGTTATAAGCAATATATCGATATAGAAATCTAAATTTAATTTTATCGCAAATGCGTGATGCACTAAATTCGCAACCGTTAAATCAAAGAGACCACTTCGATATAGCATTTATATCAGATGTTTGATATAAATATAGAACCGATGTAAATTACAAGACACGTGCTCAATTCAACATCGTGGGATGCGATTGAGAGAATGTAATATTCATAGTTAGAAAGGATTTAAAAAAAATGCATACATGTCCATTTAAAGCCCTTTGTGTTCTCCTAAACTATTAAATGCATTTATACTATTAACGCATTTAATAATTTCATAGGCATAATATTGTATCACTGAAAAATTTAAACGTTTTGTAACAGTTATATATCATATTAAATAACTTTAGAACGTATTAAAATAAGTAAATATCGTTTATATTTACTTAAACATAGGTACCAATATGTAATTAAAAAAAATAAACCTTGATATTTCGATATATCCTTACTTCCTTACTAATATTATAATCGCGAAAGTTTTTATACATGGATGGATGTTTGTTACTCTTTCACGCAAATACTACTGAATGGATTCTAATTAAACTTTACAATAATATAGCTTATATATCAGAATAACACATAGGCTATAATTTATATACATATTTTATGTATCTTCTGACTTCTACTTTACGCAGACGTAGTCGCGGATAGCAGCTAGTAAAGAATATTTCAATTATTATCTTCCTTTAAAACAAACTAAAAGAAATAACCAACCCTACATTTCAATTCCCACATCAAGAAGTTCCATTTAAAATCCCAGATAGCTTTTCTAGTGAGTACAAGCATCTGCTATAATCCACAATTTAATATTTTTTATTGCCTAATAGTTGTGGTTTGAAGCTTTTAAGAACCTAAAGGAAACGATGGTCTACATTTTCTGAACAATTTGAGAATGTGTCAGATCTTCAAAATAAAACGCATTAATTTTACTCGTATATATTTTTAAAAGTGAAGCACAAGTTATGCATACGTGCCCTATAGCTTGTGAAAGGTACAAAGATCACCATGCCTGCCCATTGTAAATTGGTACCCTTCGGTAGATTTCCTTTTATTATTATATATTAGAGAGGCATAAAAAAGGAAAAAGTAATGTTTGTTGTCTTATTATTTCGAAATTATGCAGGTTTCCTCACGATGTTTTTCTTCACCGCTGAGCACGTGATAAGTCAGCACTTAAAATTAACAATTTCATTGGTGAGGGAGAGAGGCATATTTTCTCGCAATAATTTCGATCACCGCGGCGATCACGATGAATCAGCAGTCAAATTGAAATAATTTCATCGGTGTCGGTAAACAGGCTTTGTAATCAGGTTATTAGAGTATGATGATTTTTAAAAACCAGCGCCCGGACTGTAATTTACCGAGGCCCGTAATAAAAATTGTAAGATGAAAATTGGAACGCTATTTAAGGCGTTACCATGTCGTTGAAATGTTACAAAGGAAAAGCCGTACTTGAATCAAACAACTCATTTATTTAATCAAGATGCAATGTTTCCTTATTTATAATACTTATTTAATTTTTAATTAAATCTCATATTGGTTCAAAAAATAACTAACTGTCGGAAACATATCTGGTGGGCCTCGTTTATTAAAGCTCATAATTACACGTAGCGCACCATTTATAGGGGCCCCAAATTGAAATCAATAGAGTCAAAGTTTATTTTCGCAAAGCTCTTTGGATTACTAAGAAAGAAATATGTATCTCTAAGTGTCTTCGGAAGTGAGATAGCCTGTGACTGGCTGGCTGCCAGTGCCCCTGTACCGGCGTTCGGTGGAAATTTTTTGTTGTGGCACAGTTTTGGTTCATTGCATTCGACGAGGATTACAAAAAAAATTTATGTTCTCGCCGTTCGGGCGGGCATAGATTAAGTCCTAAATTTGCAAATAAAGTTCACAATTAACGCCTAGTTACCCTGCAATACTATACAGATATATTATAAAGTCAATTAAACCTCATGGACTTTATTTCTCAGTCCATTGTCCACAGCCGTACCAGATATTTGAATTATAAAGATCTCTTAAATGTAAATTACTTGGAAAATAGTTATTTAAAATTATAACAAAGGAACAAGAAAAAGCAAATTATATGTACTTGCAGTTAAAATATAGAGTAAAGAACAGTTATCAGTTCCTATAACTTCTAGGGTTCATCAAAACGACGAAAATGTGTCATTATTCCAACCGCAGTCAAAAAACCTGTACAGTTTCTCTTCTTAAGGTTTGGCCCATGACACGTCGCTGGGGTCATCATTAAGGAACAGTTTAATTAAAAAACAAAGGAAACTATGACGATATCTCGTAGCGTCGATATAAACAAGGTCAAGCATCAGTACAACAGACTGAAAAGGCCAAAAATACACCCCAATGACCTTCTTTACTGGACGTTTTGGCTGACATTACAACACGACATTTTTATGTGCAGAGTACCATAACTATTTAATTATAATTGTGGAGTACTCTATATGAAATTTGTCTTGTGAATTGCTTTTCCGCTTTAAAAGCGGTATGCGAAATAATTTTAATCATAACATAGTAAAATAAAAGTTGATTGAATAACGTATATGATTTAAAATTTTGTCAAAAGTAGGGTAAAAAATAGTCGGCCTTAAAACAAAAGAGTCGTCTTGACTGTGGCTGGTGACCGTAATCATTCCGTAGCTTATATTTTCTTCTAAGATCTTTACTTAAACTATATACATGTCATTGTTACAAGTATCACTATAATCTGAAACTCAAGCGAATACGCTTAGAAATTTTTCCTTTGTCCTTTGCAACAAGAAAGAGCTGAGAGCGAAAATGTCGTGCAATGTCAGAGATTTACCACTCGGGCATCCCGCTCATTTCACTCAAATGATGCTATAAAAATACACTGTGAAAAATTTCGCGTCTTCCAAAAGTTATCAATGCAAATAGCAATATTATTAAGCTCGATATTTAACACGGTGAACAGGCACTATATCGTAACATCAATGGATGAAATCACATTCCGCTTAGCATCCTTTCTCAACATACACTACGAGGACGTGCTGCAGCGCGTGGCGATACGCAACTCAGTAGGGGATCAGTAATAGCACAGGCAGGTGACGCGTACCACAGAAATACACCACGCGTGGAGAGTACGGGCGAGCGGGCTGACCTGGTGGCATGCCAGCCCCCGCCTGCCAACTGGGTGAACCAGCCGCGCTCGCCTGCTCGGCTCCGACCGACGTTGCGCTATCGATTTGGCGGCCTTTTCCGACCACCGACTCGCCTTCAAATGCATACATGCACAGATGATTGCCCAACACTTCAAAGCGTAAACACATCATTTTATTATATTACCATACATTGATTGGAACGTCAAATGACATCTCTTATTGAGGGCTAGCCTTAAGCTTCCAATTTGTATAAAAAAACGACGTGAATCGGTGACACAATTCTGCCACAACCAAAACGGAAAATAGTATATTGTATTGTTCTTAATATTTTCTTTTGTTATTTCAATATGGAACAAGATAATCAAATATACCAATATGGGATATATATTTGATTATTTTGTTAAATGAAAATTTTTAGAATATGATGACGCTAGAATTTACCATCGCATTTACAATAATATTGGATTCAAAAATTACATTCTTTCATTTAAGTTTTATATAGCTGCTAGTTCAACGATCTCTGAAAGTCTGCTCGCTGTACCTATAATAACAAAGGAATCCATTTTTGATACAACACTGTGGAGCTAGTTTCATCACTGTGGTTAATAGTTATAATTTTTAGGCATGTGTATTGTTAATATTTTGGATTTGCTTTAATATAAAATATCTCTTTTGCGGACATAACAAAAAATTTAAAATCACTCAGAATATTGTGTGATGAATGATCTATCATGAATGACAATCTCAGAATGATGCGTCATTAGACTTCATACAATTGCTCATCTTAAAGTTAAAATGTGCGCGTCAGTGTTTAATTTAAATCAGTACTTTAATTATAAAGCGAAGATAGTCTGATTATTCTACTTCAACACTTTGGCTCGTTTCCAAAACGAAGGTTCTAAAATTGTTTAAATGTTGCCGGTATATATTGAAACATACATCCGTTTTGGACAGTTTAATGTCCCCTCTGACGATATTTAAAAAAATGTGGTTTTTCATAACTGTATACGCACATTACTCTATTTTATAACGGGTCATGAGATTGTACCGGCTAATAATACATTAGAAGAAGCTACGCATTATTCTAGGGATTGCAAAACTCCTTTTTGCACAATATTCACTGCACTGCAAATATACGGAACACCGCAAATACCATCAAGTTTATTAAATAGTTTTGACACCTCTTTAATTGCTCAATGAAAGCCGAGGATACTTTTTAGGTTTCCGGGCCCAAGAGGTAAAACGGTACCCTAATATTAAGACTCCGCTGTCTGTCTGTCTGTCCGTCTGTCACCAGATTGTTGACAACCGTAACTGTAACTACTGTATACAGTCGTGAAAAATGTGTACCCATTAGTGATTTTTTTTCCCCATTGACATCATAAATCCGAGATTATAATCGCTAAGCCATTGTAATTGTGCTTAACATATTTTGTTTAGTTATAAATTAAAAATAATTTAATGCCATAATCGCATTTTTATAGAAGGATTTCAACCAGGAAAAGTTTTTGACTAGGGCTATTTTAAAATCGGTTCGAAGCTTTGGCACGTTTCATTTGTACGATAACAAACACAAAACCCGAAGCATTTGAAATTGTTATGGTATTTCATTTTTATATACATAAATAATATTTTATTTATTACGATATCCAATATTCTATTTATTCTCATACTTATGGCTACTTTTATATGTAATACTATAAAACTTCTCATTATTATATTAATTACTTTATTTTTTATATTCATCAATACCATTATAAGGCAGTTGTTTTATAATTTTTTTTAATGCAAAATACTTTTTTATAAGCCATAAAGCTTTATAGTGCAAGTTTATTGCCTCTTAAAATTATAAAAGTATTAGAAAAACATTGTGCAATCAATAAAAAAAACATCTTCGAAACCATTTAAAAATTTCCTCATTCCTTCGAATTTTAACTTATTTATATTATGGCCATAATAATAATTAATTACACTAGTATTAAAAAGTATAAAATAAAATATAAATACATACTGCCACAATGTCAAATTGTAGGGCATCACACTTGTATCTGAAATGAAACATCTCTGAAGGCCTGTAGATATGGGTCACGGCTGTCGCCTAAAGAAATAACGAATGCAGGGGAGAAACGAATAATACATCCTTGGGGTACGAAGTCCGTACGTGCCGCCGCTCTGAACTACTTTCTGCAATATGATGACTGTATTTTGCCATCGTAAATATGCCTATCAATACTTTATGTGTATTTATACCTCTTCATGATTATACTATGTCCAAATCCTACTCAATGCTGATATACATTTCATTTTCGTTTTGCAAGGTACGCTTAACTATATCTTTTCGTGAAATCCAATGATTGGTTGATATAAAAAAGATTTGTTTTTTATTTCATTTCTTACTTTCTGCCACTAGCTCATTAAGTTTAAAACGAATAATGTATATTAATTTCATTGTGAAACAATGAAATTAATATACATTATTCGTTTTAAACATTGCTTAATTAATAAAAAAAAATATTTCAAGAGCTTTTAATTTCGTAATTGTCTAAATTGAGTAAGAGTTGAGAGACATATGACATTATAACATAAGTTAAATTATTATAATTCCATTGACTCATCATATAATATTTTAAATCACGCAATTCATTAACACACTTATAGAAGCTGTCCTGAAATATTTTTACTTCAGTAAAACCTTTATACGCCATAAATGTAATTAGGTGGCTATTATTGCATCAATTAGTGGATGTGAACGTTTCCTTGAGACAATTTAGTAAAAGCCGCCGACGTTAAACTTATCACATATATCTGATCAACCTAAATAAACGAACTTTAATTTTTCGACTCGAATATCAGCCGATGTTATTTATTGCATATAACTTTTAAATCAATAATATATACAAATTGTCTTTACGCTGTGATTGTTACAATATCGCTTTTAATGAGCTGATAAAAATGCTTGTCCGCTGTTATTTATCGTAGGCCAACAATTCCACGCTATCTACGCTTACTAACTACATACTCGGGTTAATTTCAAATACATCGCACATGCGTCATTGATAGATAGGGCGATAAGCTGATCTTAAAGCTATTCACGATATTGTTATGGGTACATGAACAATGATATTGATCTAGAAATACGTTAAAACTTTTGCAGTCGCCATTTTATCCGTTCCTTGTTATAATTTGTGCGTCAATGTAGCTATAAAATTAATAAATAAATAACAAAGGTTGCTTATAAGGTTGTTGTAGAATGAAAGCTAATGCTTGTGCTACGTTTGAGTCTTGTGGGCGATATTATTAACGCTATCGCATGCCAATATCGTTTCGGTGCACAAAATAGATCGCCGCAATAAACATACAATTACATTGATGATGAATTTTTTGAGGTTCTGTAAAAGCAAAAATCTTTAGAACTGCATATCTTTAATGACGATAATTCTATATGACGATGCACTATTTATCATTTTAATAAACACTAGGCGTGTACTGTTAAGGTGCGGATTAAACATCGGTGTCTTTTTGAGGCGTTGTGTTAGCTGCATCAAACAGCGTTTTGTTGGAATACATTGTTACAGAAAAGCTTATTGTACACTTCCGTAGCTCTGGCGGGAGCGATTAAAAATTCAACCTTGATAATAAGCGACGTTGTGTAAACAGCTCGAGTTGGCAGCCCATCTTTATGTGGAATGCTAATGAGATTGGCCCGACCCGCGCCCGCACCCAATTTTGATCGCAGGACGTTGGAAATGTTCACGAGCATATTCATTCCCGTAAATCAGCGGTTCCTACGAATAATTTTAATTATTTTTTTTAACGTTAATATTTTTTTATGATTATTGGCAAGTAGCGTTAGACGTGTGTTCATTTATTGTCGCAGTGGTAACGACACGCTGTATATCATAACATCTAGTGCACGTGATACCCATAAATATAATATTTCAAACTTTGGGATTTTAGCATTAAAGATTTGAAATACAAAATATGGAGCAAATCAAGTTTAAGTTATCTTTTATAAGAACATACAGATTTAATTTTCCCAGCGATGATAAACTTGCTTATTCTCAGATTCAGTTATGTAATTATTTAACTTTTGAACAAAATAAAAATTTGCGAAAATATCGAAAATAACATTTACAATAACATCTATATAAATACATTTTAAATATATTTTATCAATGACATATCCGCAGTTTTTCCCCATCCGCTTTTCCGTCTAATAATTATATTATTAATTAATCACATCTTCATCTTCTAGACAAGGAGTTAGTAAACTACATCTTCATTTAACATATCTAAGATGTAGCTAATCACTAGCTCGTCAACGGAAAAGATAGCAAAACCATCAACGTAAGTAATCATAAATTTAATCTAACACATTTATTCTTACAACATAAAATATGTAACTACTAAGAGTTCGAGTTAAATTATTTACAACTAAAAGAAATAAAGAATTCCCAAATAGCTAATTCAGAAACAAACTTGGCGGTACGTAAAGCTCGAGTTCAGCTTCTCTCGTATTCATCGGGAGTACATTTTAAACTTTTATTAGATTCTACGGGCTTCTACTTTCACTGCACGGAAGTGTTGATGAAATATTCAAACCGAAACATTTTTTTCTGTATTCACTTAAAACCGCTTTTAATACTTACAACAATATAAGACTACATTTTTAAATCACTACGAGATCCCATATTTGAAAACCACACTCGACGCAGACTGTCTGATATAACTTTATTGTTCCACTGTTCAACTAGATGAATTAAGAATTTATAGGTCTTTACTACGGTCCGAATCCAGGGCGAGAAACACGAAATTATTGGCAATCTATTTTATGGATGAACAACTTTATATCGAAACACTCCCAGACGTGTTTTCCTTCATCGAGTTCTTGCGAATCGTAAAAATTAATATGGTGTGCTAAAACTTTAATCGGTACATACTTATCGATTATTTTGAAGCAATTTTTGGCCCAATAAACATTAACGTGTGTTTAATTCCTTCACGATGGTAATGACCCTGGTCGGCCTTCTGTTGTCAGCAACAGTTCTCGTTTTAGACTTTATTCATAGCTTAGTTTTAATAAGCTTAGTTTTCGAAAGGCATGAATTGCCGCATATAGAAACCCAACTTCTTATCAGCCAAAATTAAAATGATATAGATTAAAAATGAGT